TTGTGAGTGGCTCTAAAGCCAACAGATTAGCATAAGATAAAGCATAAAGGAATGTGCATGCCAAGTGACCAGTTAGAAGGATGGGACAGAAGGACCATCACTGTAACAAGTGGATCCCGGACTCCCAGTGTGAGTGAGGACCGGATCCTAACCAAGGGACCTTCCCAGTGACCCCTCAGACAGTGTTGATTGGGGACATCTGACTTCACTGGAACAACTTGGCACGCACCTGGCGTAGAGGGACTATCGATAAGTTGCCAACCCCATGTGGGAACTCTTTCTCATTCTGTCTATCTGTTGTTATCATTCACTATTAGCTCTTTATTACTGTACTATCTGTTTGTCACATTAACCTTTCTGTTAACTCTTGTATGCTAAGCTATAAGTAAAATTGCCTTTACTTCACTCCCGCCTCGCCTCCTTGATCCTGAACGCAGCAGCCTCATGGCTGATACACTCACAGTGCCTAGCCGGCCTGTGACATTGGGGGTGAGCTCTAGGCACTGCAATATGGCTGCCTTCACCTTGTCATAGTCGTAGGTGTCTTCCCTCAGTAGGGCCCAGTCTGCAGCTTGCGCCTTGCCCGCCACCAATGATCCGAGCTGGCTGGCCCACTGTAGCCTATCTAGCTACATCTGAATCGCCGTCTTCTTGGACAATTTGATATACGCCTCCACATCATCCTCATGCATCATGTGATGCATCCAAAATGTTGTCCAATTCCAACGCATCCACTTCTGTTGCTGCATTACCTGCTGTTGTTGGACTTATAGCACAAGGGTGTGCAAAATGCAACCCTGGGGGCAGATGCGGCCTGCCAGGCAATTCTATCCAGCCCATGGGGGCCCTTAAAAAAAATTAGAAAATGAATACTTATCTGCCCTGGGCCTGTCATGTGGCCCGTGATGGCTTGCCAAAACTCAGTAAGCGGCCCTCTGCCCAAAATAATTGCTGGCCTGTGTTCTAGCACCTTTGTCACGGCGTGTAATGTTTGACCTAACAAGTCAATCTGGGGGTTTAGGTTGACTTCCATTGTGGCATCAGCCTCCAGGGTCACCCTTGCTTCCACGTTCCCAGCCAATGCACCAAGTTGTAATCTTCTGTGTCTCTCCTCCGGGTGTCACGTATGTGGGTTCCTCTTGAACCTCACCGTGTTTCCCTGGATGAACAGTTTGGTTATTGGGGTGACTTTGGGTCAGTTCCCCAGGGGCCTCACCTGACATGTCTTTGATGATGATTATATTCCAATCAGGAGGACGTTTGGTCCTGCCTCCCCTGGCACCTTCCCTTGATCATTCTTGCTGTTCCTTCTTTGTAGGGCTCCACCTCCCCTACCCCTGCCTTACACCAACCGCAATGTTGTCACCTGTGTCATCAAGGTTGATGTCCTGAACCTTCTAGGCACTCAGGCTCTCAGAATCGTGTGGCCACAGGCTAATGGTGGTGTTTCTATCCTGAGGGTCTCCTACAGCCCCTCTTCTCTCCGTCTATATGGCATCCGGTTTCAGCACTGTTCCATCCCCTGATGCATCACCTCTTCCCTGGGTTTGGTACATCACTGTCCATCAGCTGCACCTGGATCCTAGTACTGCTGCACCCTGCCAGGCTCCAGTCTTCGCTGCAGACCTCCTCTGCCCACATTGACCCTGTAAGTAAATCCTTGGGCCCTCTCTGGCCCTGTGTTCTTGTAGGGACCCCTTCCTGAGGTACCCACCAGGTCCCCTTGCTGGGACCACTCGTGAGCTCTGGCCCCTCTGGGCTGGTTGGGGACTCCACTTCCAGTCCTCCCCGCTTGTTTTCTGCCAGGTCTTTTATCCCACCCCTGGGCATCTGGCTGACCAATCAGCCTTGGCACGCTCTTACAAAGCATGTCCATGATGATGCAGGGGCCATTCCCAGCACCTTTAAGCTTGGCGGGTTTTTTTTCCTTTGATCTTTACCTGCAGCGGCTCCTCCCGCCACAGTTTCACTTTCGCCGCATTCGTCTTCTGGTGCATGCCTCGTCCGGTAAGTCTTTTTCACACCCAGACTATAAGTATGCTGCTGGTTCCTTCTCCCTAGATGTAGTACCCCAGGACTGAGGTAAGACTGATGAGCCTATAGTTACATGAGTCCTCCTTTCTCCCTTTCTTGTAAATGGGGACCACATTGGCCTTTTCCCGGTCATCCAGCACCTGACCAGAGCTCCATGAGTGCTCGTATAGCCGTGCCGGGGCCCTGCAATGACCCCTGCCAATTCCGTCAGCACCCTTGGATGAAGAGCACCCGGGCCTGCTGATTTGAACACATCCAGCCCCTCCAGAAGTTCCCTAACTACATTATCCCTAACTTTGGGCCTGGTGGTGCCTCCCCTGAATCCTTCTGTACTCCTGGTGGGGGAGATGTCCCAGTCCCTGCTCAGAAAAATGGAGGCAAAAAATTTGTTAAAGAGAGTCTGCTTTTTCATTTGCAGCAATCACCAGATTGCCAAGCGCGTCCTGCAGGGGCCCTGTGTTACCCGGCGCCTTCTTCTTGCTTCCTATGTATTTGAAAAAGGACTTTTTGTTATCCTTAATCCTGGTCACCAGCCCCAGTTCCATCTCAGCCTTGGCCTTCCTGATAGCCACCCTATAGCCTCAAGCAACAGAGGTATGACTCTCTTTGGTAATAGCCCCTTGCTTCCATCAGATGTACGCCTCCTTTTTAGCCCTCAGGCATTCCTGAATGCCCTTGCTGAGCCATGGGTGCTTTTTAGCACTCTTACTCCGCTTGGTATGCATTGGGACTGACTCCCGTTGAGCTCGAAGGATCATCTCCTTGAGGAAAAACCACCCGTCCTGGACTCCCATCTCCCCAAAACTTCGGGATCCCAATGCCTCTCATGCTACACTTCTTAATTCATTGAAGCTGGCCCTCCTAAAGTCAAGGACTTCCGCCTTACTGTTAGCCCTAGGCACCCTGCACTGGATAGTGAATTCCAGCAGGCGATGATTGCTATCACCCAGGTGGCCAAGAACCCACAATTCCCTCCATTGCTTGTAGCAAGGACCAGGTCCAGCAGGGCATTTCCCCTGGTGGGACTGTGCACCTCCTGAGTTAGGTGGAGGTCCTGTATCTCAGCTAGGTAATATGGTAATTCATGTCAAGTGCAGGAACGACCGACAGTGAAGTATTGAAGGCATTGTTAAGATGCTCAGGAAGGTTAGATTTTGTTTTATAAATCTGAATGAAACACATATTTAACTATTATGACTACAGGGCTGGATCTGGGGGAGGGGGCCAGGGGTGCACTGGGTCACTTGCACCCCCTTCCCCTCCCCCTGCCCCCACTTTGATTCCTGCTTTACCTAAAGTTTAAAACCAACTACCTGGCAGTGGCAGCAGCATTTTTCATCAGGCAGTGCTGAGGGAATCAATTGACTTCACAGCTCATAATCTACTTGAGCCCTTCTAAACTCTTCATCCCAGAGGTGATAACCATTCCCTCTCCTTTTGAATGGTCCTGACATTCCACCAATCCAGCTACCCCTTGTTGTGTAACACTGGGGCCTGGTAGCTGCTTCTGGTCATGAAGCTGCTAATTTCACAGCCCTGCAGAGTGTTTCTTAACTCATTCCAATGACATCCTATTTGGATTTTGCTTTAGTCTTGGATGACATAATACAGAAGTTTTACTAAGCATCCCTCTGTACAGTTACCCAGGACTTAAAAACCTCTAAGGGTAGAGATTCTGCTACCCAGGAGTGGAATCTCCATCCTTAGAGGTTTTTAGACCCTGATAGACAAAGCCTTGGCTGGGATGATCTAGCTGTGGCTGGTCCTGCTCTGAGCAGGGGGTTGGACTAGATGACCTCCTGAGGTCCCTCCTTTCCTATGATTTTATGAATTAAAACAATTGGACTGTGCTTCTCATCTATCCATAAAGTTTCTAGTTTCCTTTTTATGTGGAAAGAACTATGTGTTGGGTTAGGTGTGATGCTATACCTCAGCATGTACATCCCTGCTTCTCCAAATCCTGGAGCCACCCATGCCTCCTGTCTCAAACCCAGCTCTGAGGCAGTCAGACATTCTTGCGTGCTGGGAACCCAGCCCTGCCTTTTCCACAGATGCCTCCCAGCTTTTTTTTTTCTTTTCCCCATGGGCAGAGAGCTCTGGCTCTGAGTCCCATGCCAAGGAGGGAGACATCTTGGGGGGCCAACCAAGCAGCTGGAGTGATGGCCAACTACTCCCAGCAATGAGGCTGAAATTGGTTCCTGGTTCCTTTTTCAAAGTGAATCTTTACACAACGAAAGGTTGTTAAAAATGAATTCAACATGCCAAAGAGTTGGAATTTCATCCAAAAATGTATATTTACTAATACCAATGTAAAAAAAAAAGCATCATGTAGCAAGCACTTATTAGCCCTGAATCTGGCTGAGATTAAGTTGGGATTATGGGGCAGAATCCTTTTCAGGTCACCCCACCTTCTAACTGTTTGGCTTGTCTAATTCTTTGCTAAAGACATGCTAGAGTTAGGATTTCATCCAAAGATATTTACTAATACCAGTGTAAAAAACATATCATGTAGAAAGTACGTAGCCCTGACTCCAGAGCTCAGATCAGGCTGGGATTATGGGGCACAATCCTCTCGGGTCACCCCATCTTCTAACTCTTGAAGAAGCAAGCAAGATTCTTTGGGTAGATGCTATCTCTTGGGGTATGGGGCAGATGTGATCTATTTTCTTAGACCAACTGAGCAGTTAGAAAAAAGTTCTTTGCAAGCTTTGGGAAACAAGCATCCTTCTTCAGGCAGAGGGAGACTCTCGCTTTGAAGAGGGAGCTGGGAACAAGGAACCAACCCTCAGGAGAAAGGCTGCGCCCTGCGCCCGGGGCTGCTCCATGTTCAGGCAGGCGCAGCCTCCCGCACTGAGGGAAGGGGAGCCAATTTGGCAGCAAACCCTGACGGGCAGATCTCCCTGCTCCGGACAGAGCCAGCAAGCAGCCTTTCCCTTTAAGGCTCGTCCCCACCCAGCATGCCTTGCTATGCTGGGGCTGGCCGCCGCCGGAGGTGGTGCTGCGATGGAGGGGGAGCGCGCCGCGGAGCCCGGCACCTTTGCTGCCCTGCACGGCCCGGCGCTGCGCGCCTCCGGGGTGCCCGCGCGCTACTGGGACAACCTGCGCTGCAAGCTGGAGGGTGAGGTGCGTCCCGCGGGCAGCGGCCCGGCCTCCCGCTCCAGCTTGGCTAGGGGTTTGCAGAGCCACGAGGCTGCCTGCTTTGTGCAAACCGAGGGGGCGGTGTCTTGGCTGGGGTGACATTTTACTCCTGCAGGCTCTGCCTCTCAGTTCCTTTGGGTCCCTGCAGGCTGGGCTTGGATTCAGGGTGGCGGCAGCAAGTTTGTGGGGCCGCTGGCAGGGCTGCCTGGGCTTCAGTGCCATGAGCTGGGGGAGGTGTGCCCGGTGGCAAGGAGCCTGTTTGGAGAGAAAATCAAGGCATGGGTTGCGCACGGGTCCTGCTGTGCGGTGCCCGAGTTCTTGTTGCACAGAGGCCCTGGCAGGATGAAAATGAAGGTGCTGCCCCCCACGTGGGGTCTTAATGCCATACCTGAGGATGCGCTTTATGTCAGGGGTGTCCTTCCCTCCATAGAAAAGGCTGGGTGTCATGAATTAGGCCATACAAATGAGAGCAGGTTTTCTTGTATGGTGCTGCTGACTCCAAAATAGGGGCTGTCAGCATGGGAGAAACAATTCTACAAATGCATCAGGATTGCTGCTAGGTTGCCCTTCCTGCAAAGCTGTGGGGGCTGTCTGAAACCTGATGATAAGTGGTGTTATGGTATCTTGGGTTTTAAAGAGCTCTGAGCCATGGATGCGTCATGTAGCCTTCAGCACTTTGAGACAAAAGGAGTGTTAAGTATTTGTGGTACATAAAGGCTGGAATTGCATAGCTGAAATGCATCCTAGTTTGTGTAATATTTTTCTCTGCTATGTTCAGCCCGTTTCGGTTGCTAAATGTTAACTTCTTAGGGTTAAAATTCCTATTCTGGTTATCTAATTCAAGGATGGTTGTTGGTCTGTATTCTTACTTGCTTGTTTGCTTCAGTTTAGCCAAAACTGTTCTGCTGTTTTGAAAACACTAGGAAAATATATCATGCTTTTTCCCTACAATAAATACCTCTAACATCCTTTCTTTTGAAACCCTTTGCAATCATGCATGTAGACTTTTTGTAAGGGGTTTAGGATAGCAGCCCGGAGCTAGAGGCTTAACCCTGTCATGGCTGCTGCTGCTGCTAAATTAGTAGCAACTTTGGCTTGTCAACCAATTTGGCAGCAATTGTGACCCATTTAAATCCGGAGCACCAAAGGGGAGGCAAGTGATGCTGAGTAGACTCTGCCCCTGCTCTATTTGTCGTTCTGGGGACAAAAGTCTGCTTGGGGTACAGATTTTTTTGTTTGGGTGTAAAAAAGTTGTCAGTGATGGGTTCACTAAAAAGACATGAGAGTTGGGGTGAGAAGGACTCTATTTTAGAAGCAGTATTACAGAAAAAAATTCACTTTATTGGGAATCGATTTGCTATTATACAGGCTTGTCCAACATATAGCCCGCGGGCCACCATGGAGCCCGCCAAGCCATTTTCTGAGGCCCACAGTGCTGCGATGGGAAACGAAAGTAAACACTGTATACTTTCGCTCCCGCCCCTTGTCCCTCACCCAACCCCTCAGCAGCTTCCTAATGGCTGCTGAAGGGCTGGGGAAGGGACAAGGTTCCCACACGCACCGCGTCAGCTTGATGTTGCCGACACGGTGCGTGTGGGAAGAGGAGTAGCCATTTGCCACTCGGGACAGATGAGCCCAGCCGGAGCAGCAGGGGCTCAGCTGCACTTTCCCCTGCCTGCACTGGTCAGTCCCGAGCGGCACACGGCTCCACCGCCGCTTCTGCTGGCTGGTGCTGACCCGGGCGGGTCCGTCCTATCTGGAACAGCAAGCAGCTGAAGCCGGCTTCCCACGTGCTGCTGGGGATGGGAGGAGCCTGGCTGGGTCGGCACCTGCCAGCAAAAGTAGCGGCGGAGCCATGTGCCGCTCGGGACTGACTGGTGCAGGCAGGGGGAAAATGCAGCTCAGCCCCTGCTGCTC